AGCTCAAAGATTACCTTACTTTTAGATATTTCAGTTAGATGATCCAATACATAATTTGTCTTTATTTTTTGAGCCAAATTATGCTGGGATCTTTCTTACCTGCAGCAACAAATGTCCTGTTCTGTACCATGGGATTCTCCAACTGGAATAACAGAATCTGGTACTCAGAGCTCCTCTCCAAATGAGGAACTCAAACTAAAATAGGAATTGGCATAAACACCGTTACTGAACTTTTCCTAACTAACCCATATTTTACAACTTTAACCAGAGCAGAACATCAAGACCCATGGTGTTGCACATCATAAATGCATTTTAAATGATGGAGAAGTATTTCCACCAAAAATGCTAACTGGGTATTTAGTCAAAGCAGTCTATATTTGAAAAAGCAAAAGAAATTTACCAAATAATTAATTTTTTTAAAATGACATTGCCCATTTATCTCGTCTATTTATTTGAGAAGCAATAACTTTGTCTAGTGATGTGGTAATATTCTTTGCTTATATAGAAAATTTTTCCAGTGGTTATCATATGACAACTTATTTTCTAGACTAGGGTACTAGTCAAATATACTTTTTTCCCTAATAGAAATATATGGCTAGGGAGGGGTGGTGATAATATGAGAGCAGATTAGTGGTCTTGATAAATACAGATACATGACAAACCTGGGTATTGGCTTTATTCAGTTAAAGGGAATTTCTTCCTAAAATATATTTTTTTAATTCAAAACATGTTTTAAAAAACCATATCAGATGTTGAAGGCATCTCAATTCCAGTTCTGACTGAGGTCAGAATGTTTTAAGGGCAAAAATCAAAGGACCTAGTAATACCTATATTCACAAATGCCCTGTAAGGACAGGGCAACATGTAGTTGAGTGCACCAGGTCCAGCTGACCAAGGCAAGGAGGTACAGAATTGGAAATATATCAGAAAACTATATAATAGGTTGACAGATCACTTATATGCCTGTCAAAACTAGTAATAAAAAAAATTAGGGCTGCATTGAGATTTTTTTATCCATTTAACTTTTAAAAATTATTTATGCATAGAATATATTAAATGCTATTGATGATGAAGCTTCTTCATTTTCCTTCACTCTGATAGCGTACAAACACTGTTCTCAACATTGTCTGACTGAACCTCTCAACTGGTGTGTCATATTATCAGAGACTTGGCCTGGGGGGACTTTGAGGGCAATAGACGGTGTAGGAGAGCAGTGTGCACAACCCAAATCCTACCTCACCTTATCACAAATGGGATGCTGAAGCACTTCATCACAAATGTGCTGGTACAAATGCATATTAAGTTATTTATCCAGAAACAAGGGTGAAATTGGGCAAAGAGAAGATATACAAAGACTCCTCCCTGAACCACTTCCTCCCCCTCAGGGTTTTTCTATGAGACTAAAGCACACAAGAGGCAATTGCAGACAAAATTTCTTATTTTTTATTTTGCCTGTTGAAACTCATTATATAGAAGATACAGAAGAGTTTGAAACGAGGCTGAGGAGAAGGGAAGGCCAAGTGAGGTGGTCAACTTTGAAGGTATGGGAGAGTATTCCCTTCTGGGTGGGCTGTCACACTTGGTTCCATATCCATGATGAACTGCACGCAAAACTCAGGCTCCTGGCATCCCACCAGACCTAGTCCTTGAACTTGCAGATATAAGGAAGCATCGCACCACACTTAAAATCTTTCCATTTCAGATATCCTAGAGAGACAGAGGAGCTCAGGTAGNTGAGATCATGACCTGAGCCGAAGTTGGACGCTTAACCTACTCAGCCACCCAGGCGCCCCTAAAAAAGAGTTTTAAACCAATACTTTATTGTATGTGAATCAGGAAGCCAAATTTTAAAGGAATTTCAATTTTAACAAAATAGTTTGCTACTTATATATGAATGTTTATGTGTTTTAGAGAATTGGTTTGGGTGTTAAGGCAGAAACCTACTGTATTACTATTTTTTTAACTTAAAATAATAAGTTATAATTCACAAGTAGAATTTTTACACTGGTGAGGTTTTCAGAAAATACTTGCATTTGGATTCAGTTGGAAGAATTATTTTTAAAAAAATTTTTAAATTTATTTTTAAAAAAATTTTAAAAATTAAAAAAAAAAAAGCATCCTTGTTTGCTACTATCAGATTTTACATAGACAACTAATGGTCACTTTTATGAACTTGGGGGAAAGGACAATCAGGAGATGAGATAGACTGTCGGTAGGTGATATGGTCTGTCTACTCTTCCCTGCTCCTCTCTCCCATGAACCTCTCCCCAGATATATTCAGTATTCCCAGGTCTGATCTCCTGCATGCCTCTCTGGGCCACTTTATTTCTTTCATTATGCAGTCTTTCCTGGAAGACTTTTTTCCTCACTTGCTCTGTCTTTCAGGGATATGGGAACTAGGCACTCTGGTGAGTACCCAGAGAACAATAAAACTCCACCTTTGCCTACAGGAAAATTCATACTGAGTGTGGAGAGGATACATTGGGCATTCCCAGGCTGTGCCTTGGAAGAGGCTTTCCCCATGCTGGGAATCTCCTGAGCCCACATCACCTGTGTCCTTTCTCAGTGTGCTGGGTTTCCTCTGCTCACTTGCTATTTTTGCTTTTGGCTCTGCCCTTCTTTCAGATCCTTTTATGACAAATCTCTCCCCTCTACTCTGGCAAAACCGCTCAAGCTGGACAGTGAGGGGAAGAATGCAAAAGGAGGCCCTTCATTACCTCCACCTCCTCCTCCTACCAAGTGTACATTTTATGATTTAACAAACATGAAACACTTCAGCATAAGTTATGATTACTACTCAACTCAATAGCTGTACTACAATTTTTAAAAGGTACTGAGTTTGTTGAATGTTTGTATTATTTTTTATTTTATTTTGGAGAAGATAGGAATAAATACTTCATGACCGTTTGTAATGTTTCATTTTTTTAAAAAGAGAGTCAGAAAGTACTTATTTCTGGGAAAATACTTGGCAGCAAAGAACTGGTTATGAACTTCCTATATTGTTAAGGAATCACTAAGCAGCCACTTGGTTTATAGACTCCGAATATGGATACCAAGTGGCCTTGTTGGAGTTCCAGGTAAATATTATAATGTTTAATACGTCCTTAGGAGACCAATAGTGTCCAGTCTAAACCTGGTTTGAAAGAAAAGTTTTCAAAAGATTTAGTAAGTCAGAATATCACAGATTTTTCCAAGTGTCCCTTTAATTTTCTATTTTTTTCATTGTTCTGAGAAGAGGGAAGTATTTTGATTATACCTTCACCAGATGACTTATTCACGTCTCTAAAATATATGGCATCACCAGCCTAGATTTGAAAAATCATGTCATCTAAACTTTAAGTGCCAGTGGGTTCAAGGAGGCTAAGAATAATCATAGCATATTTACATAACTATTTGGGCAAAAAGAAAATATAAAGGAACATTCATAATGTGAGTTGGCAAAGAGAACTGAAAAGGTACAACCAAAGGTATGATAAAAATTGAAGAGTGATATTTTATGGTAAGAATGCTCCAGAGAAATGACACTTGAGCCCTGAATGAACTAAGCTCAAAGATTACCTTACTTTTAGATATTTCAGTTAGATGATCCAATACATAATTTGTCTTTATTTTTTGAGCCAAATTATGCTGGGATCTTTCTTACCTGCAGCAACAAATGTCCTGTTCTGTACCATGGGATTCTCCAACTGGAATAACAGAATCTGGTACTCAGAGCTCCTCTCCAAATGAGGAACTCAAACTAAAATAGGAATTGGCATAAACACCGTTACTGAACTTTTCCTAACTAACCCATATTTTACAACTTTAACCAGAGCAGAACATCAAGACCCATGGTGTTGCACATCATAAATGCATTTTAAATGATGGAGAAGTATTTCCACCAAAAATGCTAACTGGGTATTTAGTCAAAGCAGTCTATATTTGAAAAAGCAAAAGAAATTTACCAAATAATTAATTTTTTTAAAATGACATTGCCCATTTATCTCGTCTATTTATTTGAGAAGCAATAACTTTGTCTAGTGATGTGGTAATATTCTTTGCTTATATAGAAAATTTTTCCAGTGGTTATCATATGACAACTTATTTTCTAGACTAGGGTACTAGTCAAATATACTTTTTTCCCTAATAGAAATATATGGCTAGGGAGGGGTGGTGATAATATGAGAGCAGATTAGTGGTCTTGATAAATACAGATACATGACAAACCTGGGTATTGGCTTTATTCAGTTAAAGGGAATTTCTTCCTAAAATATATTTTTTTAATTCAAAACATGTTTTAAAAAACCATATCAGATGTTGAAGGCATCTCAATTCCAGTTCTGACTGAGGTCAGAATGTTTTAAGGGCAAAAATCAAAGGACCTAGTAATACCTATATTCACAAATGCCCTGTAAGGACAGGGCAACATGTAGTTGAGTGCACCAGGTCCAGCTGACCAAGGCAAGGAGGTACAGAATTGGAAATATATCAGAAAACTATATAATAGGTTGACAGATCACTTATATGCCTGTCAAAACTAGTAATAAAAAAAATTAGGGCTGCATTGAGATTTTTTTATCCATTTAACTTTTAAAAATTATTTATGCATAGAATATATTAAATGCTATTGATGATGAAGCTTCTTCATTTTCCTTCACTCTGATAGCGTACAAACACTGTTCTCAACATTGTCTGACTGAACCTCTCAACTGGTGTGTCATATTATCAGAGACTTGGCCTGGGGGGACTTTGAGGGCAATAGACGGTGTAGGAGAGCAGTGTGCACAACCCAAATCCTACCTCACCTTATCACAAATGGGATGCTGAAGCACTTCATCACAAATGTGCTGGTACAAATGCATATTAAGTTATTTATCCAGAAACAAGGGTGAAATTGGGCAAAGAGAAGATATACAAAGACTCCTCCCTGAACCACTTCCTCCCCCTCAGGGTTTTTCTATGAGACTAAAGCACACAAGAGGCAATTGCAGACAAAATTTCTTATTTTTTATTTTGCCTGTTGAAACTCATTATATAGAAGATACAGAAGAGTTTGAAACGAGGCTGAGGAGAAGGGAAGGCCAAGTGAGGTGGTCAACTTTGAAGGTATGGGAGAGTATTCCCTTCTGGGTGGGCTGTCACACTTGGTTCCATATCCATGATGAACTGCACGCAAAACTCAGGCTCCTGGCATCCCACCAGACCTAGTCCTTGAACTTGCAGATATAAGGAAGCATCGCACCACACTTAAAATCTTTCCATTTCAGATATCCTAGAGAGACAGAGGAGCTCAGGTAGATGTGACTGGTGGAAGCTCATGAACCCAAGGTAGAAGCAGTCTAGATTCTGGCCTAGGATTCAAAGACTCTCCCTCATCCTCAGCAGCGTCCCACTCCAGGGGAATGGGACTCAAAGAAAGGAGAGATGAGAAAGGATGGGAGAAGACAAACCAACACTACATTTTCTAGCTCAAGAGGATTCTCTGAAGGTCAGACTGAGAAATAGGGAAAAAGAAGATGGAGAAGTCTGGCAGGAAGGAGCACCTCTGTTCCTTACCCGTGCTTGCTAACAGACTCCCACAGTAGCCGGGGTTAGGGTTGGTGGAGGGGTGTCTCTCCCAGGCAACGTAGTTCAGCACATCCGTGCTACTCCACTCCCATCCACCTGCATTGGGCTCATAGCCCTAGAGAGGAAGGAGTCTAGTGAGGTTGACTAGTCATTAAAGGGCTCCTTGCAGGAACCCCTTCCCAGCATCATGGAATTTGGTCTGTTCATCTAGATGCTGCCTCAGAGCCAAAGCTCTCCTCTGGGAAACGCTTCCTAACTCCTTGCTCTTATTGACAAATCCTGAAGCCCATAAACACAAAGACCAATAGACCCATTCAGAGTAACCTGTTCCTGACTGCACAGCAGTTAGGGGTGCATGTGTGATTAGCCTCTGAGCCTCAGAGACAATGTCTGTTCCACAGAGCAAAAATAGAGCCTATCTTCATTTAGGATTCCCTCAGCACAATACGTGCAGACTCTGTGAGGCTCAGAGAACTGAATTACATGGACTCACATGCAAATTAGGAAGCAGATTAACATCACCAGAGACAAGAGACTTCCACAGAACCCATCTGTTCAGCTGGCCTCAAGACTCTCACTGTTACTCTAATATCTTCCAAGATCTCTGAGCTCCAAGGCTCTCTAGGGCATTTACTGGGCAGACACAGGGGTTGGGAGTGGGCTTGGATGGCAGTAGCAGGGTGAGAGGTTATAGAGAAATATTCATACCTCTGTAGGATCATGGAGCCCTATCCAGACGTTTGAGTGGATGTTTGCACTGTTCCTGACCAGGGAGGCCACAAAGGATGCCTCAGCCCCACTGAGCACAGACACCAGGTGTCCCGAGGGCCTCTTCTGGCAGGCCATCTGTGTGGGGAAGGGAGAGACTCAGAGGGAGCCTGAGACATCGCTGGGGGAAGGGCAGTGCAGAGGTGGGGGAGAAGAGGTACAGAGGCAAGAGATGAGGATGTTCACTGTCACTGCAAAAGGAAATTTGGCAAATGGGACCCACCCTCCGTAGGTCTCTAATGCACTTTCCCTCAAAACCCCTACCTATAAACCAAGTACTCACATCTGCATCCATCCAGGATTTTGGTGTCATAAACAAGGCATAGCAGTGGGAGGCATAGGCCTTGGAGCCCCTGGGACAACTGATCCGTGGACTGTGCACGTCCTTCGGGGAGTCTTCACCTAGGGTGGAAGGACACCAAAGAGCGGGAAGAAGTGAATAGGCGACTGGGGATCTGGCTGGGAGGTGACCTAGAGGAATATCTATGGGGTGCCTGCTTGGGGAAGTGATGCCAACGTCCTCACTGCCTCCCACCGTTGCCAACACTTTCAGGATTTCTTGCTCTTGAACCAGCCCCACTAAATGAGGAAGCTTCTCTTTTCTTTGCACCTTCCCCATTCACAGTCCAACCCTTCCCCACTCTAGGCTCAACATTCTTGCACTGGGTCCTCATTTTCCTTCCCCTTATCTTATTTCTGTCTCTGCGTGCTTTCCTCTTTTGCTTACCAACATAAATGATAGTGCACTGACAACACGTAAAAGACCTCACTGCGGTGCTGGTGGACCATCGTGATGCCTGCCACCCCTGGTTACCCAGAAGGACGGTGTGGTGATGGATGAGTTTTAGGCAGTTTCATGGTGTGGGGATATATGTCGCCAGTACCACGGGAGTCTTCCTTCTCATCTTGGCCCTGACCATTCGCAAGGACCCAGTGTTAGAAACAGAGAAAGCTCACCTTGGACCTGAGACAGGAGCATCAGGCAGGAGAGCAGCATCCAGGACATGCTGGGGAGGTCCATGCGAGGCAGCATCATGTCTGTGACCTGAGGAAGCAATCAGATTTCACGAAGGGAAGTGTGATCAGAGAGACGACATGCAGAGATGCCACTCATCTTCCTTGTTTCCTTTGGTAGTGCCCTAGTTATAAGTTGACCTTAGTGACATCCATACCTTTGTTTAGCTCTGGAAGGAATTGGAAAACCTGAACATGCTCCACCCCATGAGACCTCCAAAGCCTGCCTGTTCTGAGTCTCAGAGCTCCTGTATCTGACAGAGATCCTCATGTATTTCCCCCTAATATGTAGTGTATAGCTCCCGCCATGGTCTGATATTCTGTCAGCTTCCACTCACCTTTCCTGCAGTGATTTGCAGTGGTTTGTCAGGTCAGAGAGGATTGTGCTTTTATAAGAAAATTTGAAGGAGGGGCATTCAAATGAATTACAGGAATGTGGATGGGGCAGGGGTCATGGGACGGGCTTGTATTTGTTCAAGGAAATTGCCATCACAGGGAGGAGTCTCTTCCCAGAAGAGGTTGGGAATTGTCACAGATATGCATCTTTCCAGTTATCAGGGCAGCACTTTACCAGGAACAGGTGACATTTGTTCTTTCCTATCTCTTCCGTGTTAAGGACTGGTTACACAAATTGTGGCTCTAGAAAAGAAAGGCATATAATGGAATGATATTTCTGGTTGATATCTCAAGTACTCCCTTAGGCATCCATATGTATTTCTTTCTATTTTGTATAGTTTAATTAAATAAATATTGCATGATAAGTCGAGGTGAGTATGGGAATTACAGGTGAGGGCATAGGAAGAACTGAAGCTAATAGGACAGATGGTATTTAAGGTTGTCTGTTAAACACGGTGGCTAATTTTAATGAGAATTCAGATTCATCTGATGACTCAGTATGTAACCCAAAATATTAAGGAAAATGAAATGATTAAACTTGTTTTGCCAGTCTCCTGAGCGATGGGGCTTACCTGATGAACAATCATAATGTTATAGGTTAAGATGAAATGGAAATTAAAGCATAAGGAAGACTAGAGTAAGATGATGAAGAGCCAAATGAAGAAAGAACGAGGGTTAAAGAAGGGTCAGAGCAGGAATTCGATGAAATTGTAGATATCGTCCTACATTGCATATAAGTTAGAGGTATGGCATCAAGATGCTCACTACCCTGGGCTACTAACAACCTTCCTTGCCAGGCTATCATTTGGCTCTAGATGAAAAGACATTTATTTCTGTTACATTCTTACTGGGAGAGGGGCCAGCTTCCTGGGTGGGTACTGAGAAAAGTTCCTCAGTCAGGTTTACTTCTGAGTTGGCAGTTTTGCCACAGTGAGAAACATGTGGCTCATACGATGTGTTTCAGGGGCGTTTTGGCCAGTCCTAGTCAAAGTTATGCTGGGATTTTCTATAGACCCTTTTTTTTATACTGTTTTTTTATAAGCCAGCTTGTGTGTAGGTGTCTATGGTAGGGATTTGTGATGAGGTCATGCAGTTAAGCTCATAATTGATTCATGTCCTCAGAATCCAAAGTCAGTAGAACCCATAAATGATCTAATAAGAAATGTAGCCAACAGATTATTTTGTTAAAAACGAAAAAATTATTACTTTATAAAACATATACAAGAATATGTGAATGCAAAACTAGTGAAAGCTCAGTGGAAATTAAAGTTTAAAAGCATTAAAAATAATATATCATGAAAGTATGATAGTTAAGATGATTGGAAAATTAATCTTGCTATATTAAAAGAATTACTTGAGGAGAAATTAATAACGGTAATTAACAAATATGGAATGGAGTTCTTGAATTCTTGAAAAACTCAGTGTAATGGAGCAAAGAATCCATTTTAGGTTAAAAGAAACTAAAGAGATATAGCAACCTGATTGAGTGAGTAAATTTTAATTGGGTCTTGATTAATAAAGTAAGTCATTTCCGGGACAACCGTAAAATGTGAGTATGGACTGATATTTGATAATCCTAGAATTTTAAATTCTCTTTCTTGTGATAATGGTGTTATAGTCAGTAGATTTCCTTATACTTCTGATATTTATAGTGAAGTATTTAGAAGCAAAATGTCATGATATCTACAACTTATTTTCAATTTATTCAAGAAAATGTCTATGGGTGGGGTGGGGAGAGGTCAAGCAATGAGACATCAAGCAAATATATCACAATATGGTAACAATTACTGAATCTAAGTGTAAGATGTAATGGTATTATACTATTCAATTTTTCCATATGTTAAAAATTTTCCAAACAGAGAGTTATAGGGGCACCTGGGTAGTTCACTTGGTTGAATATCCAGCTCTTGATTTCAGCTCACAATCATGAGATTGAGTCCTGCATTGGGCTCTTAGCTGAGCGTGGAGTCTGCTTGGGATTCTCTCACTCTCTCTCTCTCTCTCCCCCCCTCCCCCCCTCTCTGCCCCTCCCCCACTTGCGCACCCTCTCTGTCTCTCTCAAAATAAATAAACTTAAGAAAATAAAAGGTTATAGTTTAACTTACATGTTCACTATCAGTAACACATATGTATTTTTCCATCATTACCATAAACTACAAATAGCATAATATAGAGCAATGTTCATGTAGAATCGTATGTAGTATATACGTTCAAATAAATTTTAAAAATGCAAATAAAATATTAAAGTATTATAAATAAGATTTAACATTTGGCTATGTAAACAATTAACAAATAAAAACAAGGAAAGCAGTGAGGTAATTGATATTCTATGTCCAACCAGGAAAAAAATTATATCTTCAGACTTAAAAAGAGTGATCATCAGATACCATCTTTCAAAATAGAGCTGAAATAGTTGTGAAGATGGAAAACCTCTGAGTACTTCACTTATCTATAAGAGAAGGAATTACATGTGGCTCTCTAAAATTTATCTTCTCCTTTTCAAGCTGTGCTTGGTTTGCTGAATCTTCCCTGTTGCTAGGTAGCAGGCAGTTAAACTCAGATACTCCTATGAGAAGTTATTAAAACTCAGTTTTGTTTTCACTTTACTTGAAATAATGTTATATTATAATAAGCCTTGGGGTTATAATATCCCTAACTGCAATATAAGACTTTGGTTTGACATGACAGCTCACTAAACACAGTAAAGTTTTGTTGTTATTGTTTTATTTGTAATTGTTATGTCTAAGAATCTTCATTAACCAGGCACTGAGAAGTTTGCTTAAAACCTATCTTTAAGGAGCTGGTTTTAGGTTATTTACAAGCCACTTCTTGGTGTGAGAGAAGAATCCTTACTCTTGGAGTAAGCAAGATTGAACTTTAAGAAGTTTCTTCTGCCAAAAGATAAGATGTCCAAGTTGTACTTCTTATTCCTGTTAATTTCCAACTCCAACAATATTTGCAGATAAACCTTTGTATGGTTATTCCTAGAGTTAATACAAGGGGAAATGATCACTTTATGGAAATCTAGTTATTGCTTCCAAGGATGGTGAAATCTGAAGGGTTCTTGGGAGATGGCTCAGCAGAGCTCATATCAAAAATAGCCTTGAAACATATTTTATTGGAGATTTATCACTAAAGTAAACCCCATTGGGATATATTAACCAAATATCCAGGGAGCGACCTTGGTCTTTTCACCTTATCCTAAGCTTGTCAGAAAAAATGGAAACAGAATAACATGAAGTGCCATACGCTTTGTGAAACAAGGCAAGCTGGCAAACCTCAAAGTCCCTGAGGCCAAAGATGGAAGTTATCAGAACACTGGAGAGTTGATACCATAGCTGCTGACATCTGGTTAATTATATGCAAGTAATGAACAGTAACTATTTTTATCACCTGTGCAGTTATTGGGGGCAATAAAGCTTTTATCAGGAAACTGTCCATTTTTATTTGGTTTCAATGCCTCGCATTGGTCTTCGAACAGTTCCCCATTGTGTATCATATTAGTTATTCTAATATATATATATATATATATATATATATATATAGCGTATTTTATAAAAGCTATTTTTCTTATTTAATTTTCTTTTAGAATAAATTAGTCATAATACAAAATGTTCTTCATTTGGGCAAAAAGTATTTCTAGCTGATCACCATCATTTATAATCAGTTTGTTGGTGGCCACTCTGCAGTTCTAAAATGCATTTCCAGAGTTTATATTACTTTGGGCACCAAATAAAAATAAAAATCAGAAATGGTTTCATACCTGTATTGCTTTTATTTTTATTATGAATTGTTTTTATGATACAGAAAACATTTAATAAACATATATGTATTCACTATCTAGAATGAATAGCAATCATATCTTGCCACTTTCACCTTATTTTTTTAAGAAATGAAGTATACAAGAAGTAATGAAGAAATAACATAGTAGTTACTTCTTACTTCTTGTTTAATTCTTACTTCAGAATCCATTAGAATTTTGTAATCATTCTTCCAATTTATATTTTTGAGCATTTGTTGAATACAGATTTATCAACTCTATGTAGTATTATTTTATATTTCTAGGTTAACATATATGTGTCATATTTTATATTACATCCTACATTTTTTTCTTGATTTGGCTCATAGGTTTTAAAGTCTACTTTGAGATAGTCTAATTCTTTTAATTTAACTTCAGTGTAGTATTTACTCATATAAGTATTTCAAAACTATGTATCCTTTCTTCTCTTGGTGAAATTTACCACATTTCAATGATTTTAGATTTGTAATTTGTCCCATTATTTTATTTGTTTTTTTTCCTTATGGGGATGGCTAGGATTGCTGAGTTCTTCCTTCATAATCATGCCTCAGGAAAACCACAGGGTTAAGGAATCCTGGGCTCCCTATAACTGTGTCCAGACTGTCCCTAAGATGTCCACTGCCTGACTTGGGAAGGAAAGAGGCACACAGACTCCAGGACCATCCCAGATTTTATGGGGTAAGAGCCCTACTCCTTGTATACAGATGGACAGCTGGGTTTTCATCCTCTCTCCAGCTCTACCTTCATAGGACTCCTGGGCTTTTCTTTTCTTTTCTTTTTTTTAAATAAAATACTTTATTGTCAAGTTGGTTTCCATATAACACCCAGTGCTCATC